GCGGCCGAACCCTGACCGCTCCGCATGGGTTCGTCAAGATCAAGCACTCATCTCCAAGCTCATGTCCTCTTTATCTAATGAAGTTATGCCCTTGGCGATCGGGCATCACATGAGCTGTGCGGTTTGGACAGCCGTTACCTCTGCCCTGACTTCATCATCGCGGTCTCGCTCATTGAACCTTCTCGGGAAACTCCAAACTCTTCAGCAGAGTGATGCCTCTGTTGCGGATTATATTGGCCGAGCTCAGGTTCTCATAGAAGATCTTACTCTCGATGGCCAGCATGTCCCTCTTGAAGAACAAAATATATACATTTTCAGGGGGTTACGACCCGAATTTCGAGGTTTCATGTCTTCTCTAAACGTTCGCAGCACACCTGTTACCCTACATGAGCCACAGACCTTGTAGGCGCCGAGGAATTCGTTGCCGGCGGTGGGGGACCGAATGCATCACCGGGGGCTTTTTCCGTCCAGAAATCTAGGCAACAACATCATGGTAAGGGCAGCTCGTCGCGGAGCGGCGGGCGTTGCTCCGGGCAGTCCGACAGTCAGTCTGGGCAATCCCGTGGCGATGGTGGCGGCCATCGCGGCAATGGTGGTCATGGCCGTGGAGGTAGAAACGACAATCGTCAACCTAAGTGTCAGCTTTGTGGGATCCTAGAGCACACTGCGTGTAACACCCTGGAAATTCATTCCCTATAACCCGAATTAATTCCTTAATTAATTTCTTGTGGCTTTACAATTCTTATCCTAATTTCCCTTTGAAATTAGTTGAAGGACCTAGTTGACCAAATTCCTTATCCTTTTAATTTGGTCAATGAGTTGTACCTTAGGCTTTAGCCCTTGTACCCTAGACTTTGTCTTTCTCCTAACTCGTTTTGGGAGGAAGAGGCCCTTTTGGTATTTTCACACAATGCTAGCATTAAAACCCTACCCTAACCAAGGAAGCCAAATCATTTTTCAAGATTTCTCTTCTCTCTACATCTCTTTCTTGCCCCCTACTCCCCCTTCTCTCTAGGAAATCCTAGAGTTCATCTTCACAAGTTCTTCAAGAAATCCCAAGCCAAGATTCCTTCCAACACTACAAGGCTAGCAATGGTAAGATCTAACCTTCCTTACCTTTTCCTTACAAGATTCCTCCATCTTTTCCCTAAATCTTTCTTCTACCTTGTGGGTTTTGGGAGTTTGTAGAAGATCTAGTGGTGGGTGAAGTGCTAGGTTGATCTAGAGGAGCTTTGGTCTTGCTTTGAGGTTGAAGAAGGTGTTCTTGGTCTAAAAGAGGTAACCCATGCTACACAAAATCAATTTTCACTTGATAATAATGATCGTTGACTTCTATGTGATGTTCTTGATGTGTTATGCATGATCTTGTGATAATGAATGCTTAGAGCTTGTATTTAGGGTTCTTGTATGCTATTGTATGAGCTATTCATGGGTTCAAGTCATATCTTTATTGTATGGAAGATTTGGGGTCACTTGGACTTGAACTTGACCTTGAAAGTGGAAATCCGCGAAGTGCTGAATTTTGTGCAGGGGTGTTCCCTGCGGGAGGAACCACGGGGGGGGGGGGGGGGGGGGGATGTCCCACCCGTGGCTCCACCCGCGGGGTACATGTTTAAGAAAGGGTGGGTGGTTGTCCGCCCACCGATTCGCCCACTTGTGTGTGATTCTTTGGCCTCCATTTGATTAGATTGTTGAGCTTTTGTGTGTCTCCTTGATGTTACTTATGTCTAGAGCAATGTCTTAAGTGTCCATGTGATGTGAGCCAAATTGTGCATATTTCGTGTATTGATAGGTTTGAGTTCATAATTTTAGTAATTTAATTTCTTATTCCCTTGTTTTATTATTTAGTTATGGTTGACACTTATTTTGAATGTTTTACGGCGTTTGTTAGTGTTTTTGAACCATTGTAGGTTAAAGTTATGAGCAATGGAAATCTTAGAACAAATTTGAGGTCAAAAGTGGACCAAAAGACACATATACAGCAAGTTTGATGCGTTGAGCCAAAGAATCGATGCGTCTAAAATTTCCAGTAGATAATGCGACTGAGACCAGGTGGTGAATGACGCTGCACTGCACTGAATTGCAATAATTAAAGGGGCGGTCTCAAATTCGAAAGAAAAGAGGAGCAGCGCTGAATCACATGCAACAAATTCCAATTTAAAGCGAAAGGTTTTGATTGGCAAATCAAATAGAAAGGGGCGGCGCTGATTTGCATGAAAAGCAAAAGGAATTATTTTCCAATTCAATTTGAAAGTGGGCTGCACATTTCCAAATTAAGAGGCGAATAGTAATTTCCAATTTATTTCGTAAGGCGTATTCCATCATCAAAATAAGAAAATTTCAATTTCACCCCAGTTTGACTCTCATTATAAAATCCCACTTTGATTCAACCCTAGAGGTCATTCAGAGATTTTTAGAGACAAGATAGGGAGAAATCAAGAGCCACAAGTTATTTTGGGAAGTAAGAAGAAGACTAGGGAGATTCGGTAGAATTGTCTGGTTCATTCTTGTACTCTTTTGATGATCTGTAATTCTTTATTTATATTTACTATGTATAATTTAGCCATGCTCTACTAAATTATTTAGAGATTCTTGGGTAAAAGTGTTTATGAACCTATGTGTCTGAGCTCACAGTTTCTTTAATATATTATTATTCAGGTTTAATACTTGTGTTGCAATAGTGATTGTATTGTTGTTGTTAGTAGTTAAACGACCGTAATTACTTGCTTCATAGCCATATTCATGTCTGAACGGGAGTTTGACATAAATTATGGCATACACAATTGCACCTAATTGTTGCACCTTGGGAAATGGTAATTTATTAGGGAGATTTAATTCTTGATTATTGCCAGTTCGGGAGATGGTAGTAGTTAGGGATTTATTATGATGCATGTTCTTGTTTTATTGGGTGGTTATCGCACAGAAGTGGATATTCACCAGTGTTAGTGACTACGGGAATAGCTCTAACCGCTTTGCATCCTCACACTCGTATGAACTTGGATTTAATATTACATTAGGTTAGGCACTAGGGGAATAAATACTTAAATCTTAGGAATTTCAGTCTTTCCCCATTGTTTTCGAAACCTCTGAATCATAGCTTTATTTTATTTAATTTATGCAACCAATCGTTCAAGTCAATTGTTAGGATTAGCTTTGAAGAATAAATTAGTAACTAGTGATTGATACAACTACTTCCCTGTGGATCGATTACCCGATACTCCGGGTATTATTTGTTTGCAAATATACTACACATCAAATTGGCTGGCGCCGTTGCCGGGGAAGTGGCGTTCTAGTATTGACATTAGTGAAATCTTTATTCTAGGAGTCTAGTCCATTTTTATTTTATTATTTTATTTTATTTGGCTAACGGTTAATGAGTTGTTCTTGTTGAGCGTGATTTTTATTTAGAAAACAGAGAGGGATGGCACAAGAACAAGAAAACCAAGCTGAAAGATCAATGTCTGACTATCTTGCTCCGGATGTTGAGGAGCATGGTAGCATCAATATTCCAAATGTGGAGGCAAACAACTTTGCAATCAATCCGGCCATACTCAATATGGCTGCATCGGATCGATTTGGAGGGACACCCACGGAAGATCCCAATGCTCACATCACCAAGTTCCTACGACTTTGAGGTACTTTCAAGATGAATGGAGTCACTCAAGATGCAATTAGACTTAGGTTTTTCCCCTTCACACTGAAGGACAGGGCTGATGATTGGTTATCCTCACATTCAGATAACCATTTTGATACTTGGGAAAATTGCATGGAGAATTTTTGAAGAAGTTCTATCTTATCTCCAAGACTCAAAGGATGAGAAGGGCAATTCAAAACTTTAAGCAACTGGCAACTGAGTCCCTAACTGAGTTTTGGGAGAGGTTTAAGGAGTTGAAGAGGCAATGTCCACACCATGGATTTCAATGTTGGGATTTGATGATGTCTTTTTTTATGAAGGACTGCTTAATAATTCTAGGATTTTGGTGGATGCTTCTTTGGGTGGTTCGTTCACAATTTTAGAGCCAACACAAGCCGAGGAACAACTGGAGAAAATTGCCATAAATGGATCTACTTGGTACACAAAGAGGTCTCCACAAAAGCTTGTAGGGGGAATTCATGAGGCGGAGCAATTAACCGCTTTGTCAACAAAGATGGATAATGTGGTTTCCATGATTCAAAAGCTTGCCCAAATTACCATCCAAAAACACAATGTGAGTCATGTTTCTACCCCTCCTACTCTTGATCAAGGTTTGATGTGCGATCTTTGTGGTGGTGGACACAATTCGGGGGAATGTCTCAACGATTTAAATTCCCAAACCCCTATGGAGAAAATTAATATGGTGGGATATAATAGGCCCCATCAACAGTCTTTCCAACCTCAAGGGACCTACAATCCTAATAATTTAAGGAACCACCCCGATCTTTCATGAAGTAACCCAATGGGGCCGGGGCTGCCAATCCCCAACACTTTGTTAATAGAGGTCCTCCAGGTTTCCAAAGTACTCAAGTTCAATCTCAATTACCCGCTTCGGAGGCCCCACCACAATCAAATTTGGAAGCTATGATGGAGAATCTACTTAAGTTACATTTGCAAAGTGACGAGAGGTATAGGCAATTAACGAAAAAGGTGGATCAATTGAGTGCCCATAACAAGACGCTTGAAAATCAACTTGCAAATCAAGCCTCTACATCTAGCATGAAAGTCACAGGAATGTTGCCCGCTAGCACCGAAAATCCAAAGGAGCATGTAAATGCAATTGTTACAAGGAGTGACAAGGTACTTGAAGAGCCACCTCTTCCAATCAAAGCATCAATTCCTAAAAAGACAGCTGAGGAGAAGATTGAAGAGATACTTGATGGTGTAGAAGATGAGCCAACTGTTGTGCAAATTAATCCACAAGTTTAAAAGGAAATAGAGAAGCCCGTGAGAAGGTATGTACCACCATTGCCTTTTCCTCAAAAATTTGAAATAGCAAAAGAAAGTAGGTGGAAAAAGATTTTGGAGATTGTTGAGAGTTTGAAAGTCTCAGTTCCCTTACTTGATTTGCTTTCACAAGTTCCCTCTTATGGAAATTTTTTTAGAGAGATTCTAGCTAAGAAAAAGAAATATGAGGAACGAGAGATGGTTGCTGTGGCACAAGAGTATCGGGTGTTGACCCCGGGTATTAGGAGGAGTATACCTAAGCATAGAGATCCGAGGAAGTTCACAATTCCTTGTGTTATTGGAGGCCGGCCTTTAAAGGGATCCCTTTGTGATTTAGGAGCCAGTGTGCGTGTTATGCCTCTTAATATTTGTCAAAAGTTACGGTTGGGAGAACCAAAACCAATCCAATTCACTTTACAAATGGTGGATCAATCCATCACAAAGCCTATTGGAATTCTTGAAGATGTCCCAGTTCATGTGGATAAGTATTTTGTGCCTTGTGAATTTATTGTGATAGATGCCCCAATGAATCCAGACATTCCACTCATTTTGGGGAGACCTTTCTTGGCCACTACTGGAGCAATAATTGATGCAAGGAAAGATTTTATGATCTTTGACTTTGGGGAGGAAAAGGTGGAATTTAATGTTCTTGATGAGTCAAAGGTCATCGATTGGAAGTCAATTTTGCACCTTGACCATACTTTCAAGGTGACACATGATTAGTATATGCATTTGAAGAGTTTATAGGGTGATGAGATCAAACTCGCGGATCAACCGGGATGAGCACTCCATAACCAGGTTAGGTCGAGCTAGCGACGTTAAACTTAGAGCTTCATGGGAGGCACCCCGTGTTATCTTTTATTGATTTCTTATTTATTGCTTTCTAGCTTAGTTTTATTGCTTTCTAGGTTCGTATTATTTTAATTTTATTGCTTTTTAGTTCGTGTTTTTTTTCTCTCTTTTCTTGTTCTCCTTTCTTTTCTTTTGCATCAGGGACGATGCAAATTTTTAAGTGTGGGGGAGGATTCATTAATTTGGGGATAATTTTAAAATTTTAAAATTTTTACTTTTGCTTGGATGACTCATATGCTATATTTGGTGAATAAGTTGCTTGTCTTAGCATGCAATTGCAATTACTCTCTCTTGTTGGTTAGTGGTTTGTTTTAGTGGTGCTTGCTGCATCTCAATTTGTGATTGATGATTTGAGGTGTAACACATACTTGATCTATTGCCTTGCCAATAGCTTTGTTATCCACTTAATAAATTGGATTAATTCTTGATCTTGTGTATTATGCATTGCTAGTGAAGGCTTATGTGAGATTCTGGTCATGGGTGTTTTGCTAGAACTTGCATCATTACTCCCTAAGTGATGTCTAAGTTTTGCATGTTTTGATGTAATTCAGGCCATTTTTGTTTAGCCATACCCTTTAAACCTGTCCATACATATGTTTTATCCTTTGTGTCCCCATTGTGCCTTTTTGTTTGTTTAAATAAGTGCTAAGCACTTATCCCTCATAGTGATTATTTTTCTTTGATTTACCTCCATTATTATAACCCTTAGCCCTTGGCCAAATATTTCCCTTCCACCCTTTGAGAGAATGAAACTTTTATCTTTATTATTTTTGTAAGAAGAGTTTTATGGAGTTGTGCCAAAAAGCAGCTGATATTACAAATGTTCAAGTGTGGGGGAGTTGAAAGATTGGACTAAAATTATCTTGTTGAATTCAAAAGAAGTCCAAAGAAAAGAAATCCTAAGAAAATAAGAGAAAAGAAAAGAAAAGAATGAAAAAAAAAAAGAAATATTGAAAATTTTGAGTTTAGACCCCCACTTTCCAAAGAGTTGATGAGTTTTTAAAATTTGCTCCTTGAAATTGTGATTTATCTCATCTCTTCCAATTTTGAAAGTATTGATAATTGTTACATTCTCTCTTTTTGGTAATTTTTCCATACCACTTTTTTGTTAGCCATCACCCGTAGCCCCATTACAAGCTAAATAAAGTCATAGTTGATCTTAACATGCATTCTTAGATTTGATCTAGGGGGTATGAAGGGAAAGCCTATAGGATTTCATGAGCCGTGTTTTACATAATCTCAACTGAGTATTTGTGCACACTTGATACTCACGTACTTTAAATTCTTGGTGCTTGGTTATTGGCTTGAGAATGGGTCTTATGTGCCAAACTAATTTGATTCTTAAAGCTTTTTGTTTTGTGGCAAGTTGGTTGGTGATTTGAAAGGTTGTGCAAGAGAGAGCATTAGTAATTTGTATGTTTTGATTTATGATTTATTCCTTGGTTTTGCTTGAGGACAAGCAAAGGCTTAAGTGTGGGGGAGTTGATGTGAGCCAAATTGTCCATATTTCTTGTATTGAAGTCACTATCAAACAGCTCTCCCTATTGAAGTATCAAGGGTGCGCTCAGCCCAGTGACTAAGAAATGGGTTTGCTTGCTTGTGGTTCTATTGTCTTATTGAGTATGTTGGTCTTTGTTCTTTGTTGTGAGTGATTAATGAGTTTATTGATGTTTCCTCTCTCTCGGCTTTAAAATGATATATACTGTATTCCCAGTTTCAAATGGTTTTGATTATATCTATGTATATTATGATACTTAACGCGTGTTGGTGGGTTACTAGAATTATTCGCTGACCGGGTGTTATCCCTTATCTTTACAGGTTGAGTAGCTTTGGAGAGCGCGCTAGTGGCCTGTAGATAGATTAGATCTCTTCCTTTAATAGTTGTTGAGGCCTGTGAGCCTAAGTAGTTGAACTGTTAGAATGCTTAGTAGTTAGTGTTTGCCTGTGCACCTAATGTTGTGTAGGTGTGAAATAACATCTCCCGGATTTGTGTATTTAGCTTTTGCTTTGCTTATTCTTAATGATTAGACTTTACCTCTTTCATAAGCTTTAATTTGATTGATGTTGTTGGTAAAATTCGGGGGTGTTACCCTGCGACCACGTGTTACAAATGGTATGTACATGATCCACATGCCAATATAATTTATCAGGGAGCTCCGTCAGATTTGTCACAGGACTCTCATACTTGGTTCCTAGATACAGGTGCAACGAATCATGCAACTCCAGATATAGCAGCACTCTCTATCTCGGACGAATACAATGGTAATGACACACTCCGTGTCAGTGATGATGGTACAGGTTTGTCTATTAGTCATATTGGCCATGCATCCATTCATACCCCTCTAGGTTGTTTCATTTGTCTAATATACTTCATGTTCCCACTTTATCTACCTCTTTATTATTGGTTCAAAAATTTGCTGTTGATAATAAAGTATTTTTTGAGTTTCATCCATCCTTTTTTGTTGTGAGCGATATCAACACCAAGGAGATTCTTCTTCGGGGCAATAGTTTCGGTGGGTTATACAAACTAGCAGTTCCTACTTCGTCACCTTCCGTGTTTCTTTCAGCTCGTGCGTCTCCGTTTGTCTAGCATGATCATTTGGGACATCCACACCATCGTGTTCTTAGTCGTATTCTTCCTTTTTGTTTGGTTAGTGGGTCTAGTAGTACTATTCATTGTAATTCTAGCTTATGTAATGTGTGCCAAATGGGTAAATCTTCTCGTTTTCCATTTCCACATGTTGATACTTCTAGTTCCAATATTTTTGATTTAATCTATACTGATATTTGGGGTCCATCTCCGATCTCTTATCTTTTGATGGTTATAGATACTTTGTTCTATTTGTTGATGATTTTTCTCGGTATACTTGGTATTTTTCCATGAAATAGAAATATGATCTCTATTATATATTTGACAAATTTCGTGTTCTTGTTGAAAGACTCTTTAATCGGAAGATCAAATCTATCCAATCTGATTTAGGTGCCGAGTAGAAAAAGTTGCATTCTTCTCTCACAAAATTAGGGATCTATCATATACAGTCATGTGCCTATACTCATGAACAAATGGCCGAGTAGAGAGAAAGCACCGACACATTATCGAAACCGGTCTCACTCTCATGGCTCGTGCGTATGTTCCATCTAGATTTTGGTATTTTGCATTTGAAACCGCAGTTTATTTAATTAACAGAATGCCATCTGCTATCTTAAATAACTCCAGTCCTCACTCTTTGTTGCATAAATCCCCTCATTCATACTCGTTTCTTCGTGTCTTTGGTTGTTTGTGTTATCCTCATCTTTGTCCCTATAATCGTCACAAAATGTCTTATATATCCTCTCCATGTGTCTTTCTTGGTTATCTCGAGTCTGTTAGGGGGTATAGATATATGGACTTACAGACTAATAAGGTGTTCGTGTGCAGGCATGTCAGATTTGATGAAGCTTTTTTTCCTTTTGCTACTAAAATCTCTATGCAGAAAATCTCATATTCTCGTGATAAACCGTGGGTTGCATCAATCCTTCATCACATGGTGACCAATCCCGATACTCATATGCAGTCCGAACCAGCACAGCAAGCCGCACCGGTTCGGACTGAACCACAGTTGTCAGCAGCGCCTGAGCCGAATGACGCAACACTGTCGACAAAACCCAGTGAAGCCGAGACAGCCTAGCAGGCTGCCGCGGTGACTACTCGTCCACGGGGGCGCCCGCGGGGATGGTCGACTCAGCCAAATATCCGTACCCATGACATGGAAACACGAAGCTGGTCCCGCACACCATCTACGGTCTTGACAGCTCAGGTTTGCTCCACTGATCCCACTTGTTACACACAGTCTGCCAAACACTTGGAATGGCGCTAGGCTATGGATGAGGAATTTAATGCCTTGTTACAGAATCAGACATTGTGTCTTGTTCCCTCTAAACATGATCAAAATGTGATTGGATATAAATGAGTTTTTCAAACCAAAAGGAAAGCAGATGGTTCAGTTGAGAGATACAAAGCCAGGTTGGTCGCAAAGGGGTTTAATCAGGTTCTCGGTCAAGATTTTTTTTTTTTTTAAACGTTCAGTCTAGTTGTAAAATCCACCACTGTTAGGTTACTTCTCTCTTTGGCTATATCTTCTGGTTGGACTGTGAAACAGCTAGATGTTCATAATGTTTTTCTTAATGGGAATTTGACTGAAACTATTTTGCATGCGACAACCACCTGGATATATTGATGCTCAATTTCCTAATCATGTCTGCTTGCTAAAGAGATCATTGTATGGGTTGAAACAGGCCCCAAGAGCTTAGTTTAACCGTCTTCATGCCATTTTATTATCTGTTGGATTCCAGGCATCGAAATCAGATGTATCACTATTCTATTACTCCCAAAATTCCATTTATGTCTATCTTCTTGTCTATGTTGATGACATTTTGGTAATGGGCAGTGATCCGACTCTTGTAAGTTATTTATTATCTAAATTATCTGCTACTTTCAAGATTAGGGATCTTGGTGAACTAGGTTTCTTTCTTGGTAATGAAACCATTAAATGCAATGATGGAATTCTTTTATCTCAACAACGGTATATGCTGGATATTTGGAAACGTCCTGGTTTGTCTGATTGTAAACCTCTATCTACTCTAATTCCTATTTCAAAATCTCTTGCTCACCCTCTACAGATTTATACGATGATCCTACACAATACCGAAGTCTTGCTGGAGCTCTTCATTATCTCACCATCACCAGACTAGATTTATCTTTTGCAGCCAATCAACTTTGTCAACACATGCATGCTCCTGCGGTAACACATTGGGAACAAGTAAAGCGTGTATTGAGGTATGTCAAAGGGACTCTATCTTATGGTTTGCGTATCCAAAAATCTGCATCCAGAGAATTACATGCCTTCTATGACTCAGACTGGGTTGGCTTCCCTAAGGATTGTAAGTCAACCAGTGGGTATGCTGTCTTTCTTGGGTCAAATCTTGTATCTTAGGTGTGCAAACAGCAAAGAACTGTGGCAAGATCCTCCACGGAGGCTGAATACAAGGGTTCAACTGATGTTTGTGCTGAAGTAATCTAGGATCTCTCCCTGTTGCGTGAAATAGACGTCCCTGGAATATCTGTTCCAAAACTATGGATTGATAATCTTGGTGCTACCTATCTGTGTGCTAATCCTATTTTTCATGCTCGCACTAAGCATGTTGAGATTGACTATCATTTTGTGAGAGACAGAGTTGCCAAATGAGAGATTCAAGTCAACTTTATCTCCACCAAAGATCAACTTGCAGATATATTTACAAAAGCTCTAGCAGGTCCTAGGTTTTCTTTTCTTAGAGACAAGTTACAGGTCACGTCTGTACCCTATACTTGAGGGGGAGTATTAGGACTCTATCTATGTATTTGAGTCTCCCTCTATCTCCTCTTTTATATATACCTAGATCATCATGTACTCCTATAATCTATTAGTGTTTATACAATTCATTACAGGTCTCATCCATTTGACATCTTCAGGCGTGTATTCATTTTTCTATATGTGTTTAGTCTTCCTTTACAAGCAACATGAATACCTGATTAAGACTTATGAGATACAAGAAGATATACAGAAATCTCAGATTTTTTTGTCAAGAATTTCTATTTTAAGTTGTGTTACTGAGATTTTTATCTAAAGATATATTCTCATATGTTACTGCAAATAACACAAGAAAATATGACAGTGATAAAAATAAACTTTTCATCTATTAGACATTAACCTTTCGTCTTTCAAACTTCTGTCTTAGAGCCTTTCATCTCAAACCTCTCTCATATCTTCTTGCCTGACCCTTTTTATATACATCACGTATTTGAGAATTCCAATTAATACATATATATTACGTATATTTAGATTCAAAAAAAAAAAAAAAAAACGATTCAATCTCTAAGCTAAGAGGAAATTACCTGAAAATTTCATGGACGTTATTAACTCCAACTTTTAATGGATAATGAACATAATTTAAATTTAAAACAACTAAATTAATCCACAGTTATAATATAACTGCCATTGATTGGGAAATAATATATATATATATATATATATATATATATATATATATATATATATATATATACACACACACACACACACACAAACACTAGTTTTTTCTACGTGATTTGCGCGACTAGCTTTTTTTTTTTTTACGTGATATTCGCGAAAACTTGTGCCTAATGTTGAAACTCGATTAGTAAATCATTTTGAAATCGATACATTACTTTTGTGAAGTGTTTTTTTTTTTTTATTTGATGAAGTTTTATAAATACTAAACTTAAAATAATATTTTAACTTCACAACTCTCAAAATATTATTTAATTTTAATAACATGTTTGGAATCCACTTATAACATACATTTACTGTATATAAATCTCTAACATTTTTAAGTCTATAATTAGCTTTGTTTCCATTAAGGTATTTTTAAAATTTGCTCGATCTAGATGCAACACCTATTTTTTCCCTTCATTTGGGTTGATTGAGAGTGTTAATAACATGAGTTTGTAAATATACAGAAGATGAATTTATTCAAATGAAACACTTTTTATGCGCGCTATTTCGATAACAGAAATTCCTCTCATTCCGTCCCTTTTTGAAAATTTATAAAGACAAAAAAAATGAATTTATACATAAGTTGTTTAAGACAATAGATGGAGAGAAAACTTAGAGATATAAGCAAAACAACTCCGATTAATTATTTTGAGGTTCTCCTTCTTCATCTGAGTTGTAATTATATAAATTAAAAAATGAGTGGTGCGTAATTATCTCAAATATTTATTTATTAATTTAAGATGAAGAGTGAGTCTCGCATTCCTAAATACTGCTATAAATAGAGGGTTGATTTTATTAATTATCTCATAAACAGAGAAGAAATTAAAAAGAAATAAATAAATCGATCATATTAATTAAAGCACAGATCAGATCAGATCGAAAAAATGACAAAATTGGTTGCAGTGTTTGTGGTATGCATGGTGGTCCTGTCCGTCGTGAACGACGGCGTTCCCAAGGCGGAAGCCGGCAGCGAGGCGCCAGCTGGCAGCCCGGCGGAAGCTGGCAGCCCGGCGGAAGCCGGCAGCCCGGCGGAAGCCGGCAGCGAGGCGGAAGCTGGCAGTCCGGCGGAAGCCGGCGAAGAAACCCAGCTGTACAAGGATTGTTTCGCGGCGTGCACGAAGAAGGAGAGCTGCACGGAAAAAGGCACGAAAGAAGGCATAGACATGAAAGCGGGAGGCAGGAAATACACCGACTGCGAGATGCAGTGCGACACTGAGTGCGTTCGCAAGGATACGGAGGATAAATTGAAAGACATTCCAGGTTTAGCTGATGATTTGACTTATAAGGGAAGAAGATAGATGATGATGATGATGATGATAGGCATCCGGTCTGAGGTGAATTGAATAATAATGTAGTTATTTAGTCGAATAAATTCTTTTTATTTTTATTTTTTTAAATTATGAATTACCTATATATATATTGTACTGATTGTACAAGGTTAGGGGTGTAAATTAGCCGAGCCGTTCGCGAGTCACTCGTGAGCGGTTCGGTCAACGCTCGGCTCGAACTCGGTCAAAATTGAGCTCGGCTCGAGCTCGAGCAGCTCGTGGATTAAACGAGCACGAGCCGAGCTTAGGTATTGTAGGCTCGCGGCTCGACGAGCCGCTCGCGAGCATTATAATATATTATATGATATATAATATATAATATAATTATATTATATTTAGTATATAAAAATAATAATTAGGGGGGGGAAAATTAAGATACTTTAATAATTATGTATAGATAAAATTCATAAAACAAAGTAGTTTAAATTTTAAATCAAACAGGTCAAATTCGAGATCAAAATTGAGCTCAAATTTGAGCCTAAACTCGAGCTTGAATTCGAGCCTGAACTCGAGCTCAAGTTCAGGCTCGAATTCGAGCTCGAGCTCGAGCAGCTCGACAAATGCCGAGCTCGAGCTCGAGCATCAGTTCACGAGCTCGAACGAGCTCGAGCTCGAGCTCGAGCAGTGCTATCATTAACGAGCACGAGCATGAGCCTACCCAGGCTCGGGCTCGGCTCGGCTCGTTTACACCCCTATACAAGGTGCATGTAATCGAATGTTATTCATTCATTAATACTCGATTCGTAATGAAAAATAATCAGTCTTATGGCTATATATTCTTCTCAGACTTATGCATCATCTTCAAAATATATTTTTATCTTGACCTGATCGGTCTTATGATTTTTATGTGTAACGCTTGATACATCCAGCCAAGGGATCCGATGTGTAGTCCAGTGGTTGTGGTTTTGAATTAACATCCGTTACGTTAAATATAAGTTTTATTTTTACTTGTCAAATTTATAATATATTGAAAATGAGAACAGGGCTTCTCGTGAGGTGCACCACATAATGTTTGAAGATGTACCAAAATGAATATGCAGTACACAGTGTTTGAAAATGCATTACACCAAACACTTTGTGCATTTATGCCAATCTAATAATGTTACAATTAGGGATGTCTATCGGATCAATCTTTTTGTTTTGGGCTGTTAGGCTTATCGATTTGGTTTAAATTTCATAGCCCAAAATCTAAAATCTTGGTATGTCGGGTTTTTGGGCAAATTATTGTGTGGATTATGGTTCGCACAAGTTGTTTGGACCATATTAAAAAGTACATTTTAATATATTAAATGTACATTATTTTTGTACTGAATGTACATTATACAATATAATGTACATTCAGAACAAAAATAATGTATATTCCTTGAATACAATATAATGTACATTATTTTTGTCTAGTGATTATTTGAGAAGACTTAGAAGATCAGGCTTGGGCTCACCAAGTTTATAGCTGCGCTCACAGAACGCACCTACACCAATTGGCTTATTTGCTTTTGGATCGTGAAATATCCAGGCATGCATTTGGGCTCATGGAGTTTAGAGGCATTATAATGGACCATTTTTAAATTTTGAGACTTTCTCGCTAAGTACATCAAATAATGTCCGGGCAAGTCTCGAGGGATCAATTTGTAGACACAAGAAAATTTGATCCCGATAAGTGGACTGATAAAATTGTTATTGGGCCAATGTTGAAATTGTTATTGGGCTAATTTAATTAATTGGATCATAGAGATTAAATTGATTTAATTAGTCCAATTAAATTTGGTTTGGGCTATTGAATTAATTGGTCCAAGCCCACTACATATTCAAATTTGAATTATAATTATATTTAAATATAATATAATTTTATTATATTTGAATTAGATAATTATAATTTAATTTGAATTTGAATTAGATGATAAAATAGTGAACCTAGACTTGATTTTCACAAGGTTCATTTTATTAGATAATTAATTAATTTAATTTAATAAATAATTAGGGAGTTTGTTGAGGGATTTTGGTTAGACTTTCTCCTATAAATAGAGCCATCATTTCACATTCTAAAAGACACAATTGAAGACGAAGAACACTTAAAGAATTGAAGAGAAGCTCTGAAGCCAAAGGATTGAAAATCAAGTCAAGCTAGGTGGATTGAAGATCAAGTCAAGCTCTGGCCCTTCAATGAAGATCAAGCAACAAAACCATTCTTTGAAAAACAAGTCGCATTCTTTGAAGAACTAGCCACATTATACTGTACAACTTTTTCTTGTTCACACAATCTTCCTAACATTTTTCAACCAAAAATTTGGGTTGAATATTTGTATTGGGTAGAATTCAAGAGATGAACCACTTATATAGAGGACAAGGACAGGTGATTTTCGAAGGGGAAGAGTGAGGGAAGAGTGATACGCCATTGATGGACGGCATTCATCTTGTAGCAAGAATAATGTATATTACCTTATATATGTAATTAGGAAAATAATTATAATTACATTATTATAATTACATTATTTTAGGAATTGAGATAGTATATATAGGGTATTCTATGTAATGTTAAAGACATGCAGAAATCAATTATATTAAGTAGTTCTTCATTTTCTTTCGTTATATTGTTTTACTTTTGGAGTAACCGTAACTCGAATACGGATTGGAGCTAGAAGCCTGCTCGAAAGGTTTCTTCCGTTGCGTACTAAATTTCATAAAATAATATAATAATTTTCAAAAATTTCATATAATCTAAGAATGTGATTCCCTTAAAAGGGAAAAAAAAAACTAAAAACAAAGTTTGAAATTTTACATTCACTTATTCCCTTCAACTAAAAAAGGGAATATGATCGGTCTTATGATTTTTATGTGTAACGCTTGATACATCCAGCCAAAGGATCCGATGTGTAGTCCAGTGGTTGTGAATATTATTTTGAAGTGTAACGCTTGATACATCCAACCAAGGGATTCGATGTGTAGTCCAGTGGTTGTGAATATTATTTTGAATTAACATCCGTTAAATATAAGTTCTATTTTTTACTTGTCAAATTTATAATATATTGAAAATGAGAACAGGGCTTCTCGTGAGGTTGGTGCAGTTTAAATGCACCACACAGTGTTTGAAAATGCACAAAAAAAAATTGCACCAGACACTTTGTGCATTTATGCCAACCTAATAATAAAGTGTATTTATGCCAACCTAATAATGTTACAATTAGAGATGTCAATCGAATCAATCTTTTTGTTTTGGAATCTTTTTGTTGGCAAATTATATTATGCACCGCGGTGCATAATCGATTATGCACCGCGTGTCTTTTTTTTTAAATGAAAATTAACAGTGTTTATTTCTGCCGTTTCGCACCCTTTTACAAAAAGTAACTCTGTTATTCAGTGTCATTTTGTATACACTGCAGTTTCAGTTGAACACAACTACAATTTCATTTCGATATAACTATAGTTTCATTCGATATTTTATAGACTCAAATATGTGAAAATGTTATTTAATTTTATTTTATATACACTATAGTTTTATTAAAACACAATTACATGATCATTTTGATATAATTACAGCTTTATTGTACAATATACACTCAAATATGTGAAATGTTATTCAGTTTCAGTTTAGCAGTTTCATTTCACTCTAACTATAGTATCATTTTGATATAACTGCAGTGTCGGTTTGAATATACTGTAGTGTCAGTTGGTGTTTAATACACCAAACAAACGGACTCCGTTAACTCTAATCGATTATGCACCGCGGTCTATAATATAACAACTGCTTTTTGTTTTGGGCAGTTGGGCTTATCGATTTGGTTTAAACATCATAGCCCAAAAATCTTGGTTTGTCAGGTTTTTGAGCAGGCTCAAATAAAAATTTTTAATTTTAATAACTTAGCGCATTTATACTAACAAATACTAACTTACATCATTTAATCAACCTAAACCTTCACTCCCAAATTTCAAATAAAAATAATTACTATATTTACATGCACTATAATATAATAATTATAATAATTTTTTAAATTTTTCATTAGTTATTTTCATAAAAATATTTTATTCTGTAATAAATTTATTGAAATATTTATTAAAATTTTATTTTAAACTTAATACAAATATTAATGATGACATTACATATAAACTCGTATATTTTGTTTTATATCACTTCTAAAACAAAACAAAAAAAAAAAAAACAAAAAAAAAATAGCCTTTTAAGTAGAAGAGGTGGCCACGGGCAGTTCAAGGTCGAACCAACCCTGAACCAGCCTAGAAAAAGTGGGCCTGGGCAAGAGCCGGGCTTACCTCGAAGCGGAATCGGCTTGTTTAGATCCATTTAAAAAAAATCGGGGCCCAGCACATAACTGGCCCATGGCTCCTAACCGGCCCGGGTAAACACAACCAATTTATCCCTATAAATACCCTTACCTAATTTATTTTTAGAGTAAATACCACCTATGGTCCCTCGAGTTTGGTGGCATCGCCATCAATGGTCCCTAACTTCCGTAATTACCATCCGTCATCCCTCGAGTTGTGAAAAGTTACCTTCTAGCGTCCTTCCATTACTTCCTCACATCTTAGCCGTCAAAATGGAGGGTAATATTGTCATTTGACTTATACGAAAAGAGTTAATACCAGCCATGGTCCCTCGAGTTTGGTGGTTTGGCCATCTTTAGTCCCAAAATTGGCCAAACAATATTAAAGAAAGTTGGTGGTTTCTCAACTTCCAACTTGAACTCCCTCTACTCCTATACAATATTCACTACTACAGAAAACGGATTTAACGTCGCCATTATAACGTCGATTTTTAGAAAATTCGACGTTAAATATTTAAAATTACTTTTTATTTTTTTAAAAAAATACATATGACGTCGGTTATTTGGTATAGTCGATGCCGTAACTCGAATAAAATAAATAAATAAAAAATAAATAAGAGATACGATGTCGGCGTATTATATAGCCGACGCCGTATCTCCAATAAAAAAATAAAAAAAATTAAATATGGTATATGGCATCGGCGACGTATACAGCCGACGCCGTATACTCGAATTAAAACAAACAAATAAAAATAAATAGGAGATATGATGTCAGTGAATTATATAGC